TAAATTAACATTAAAAAAGAAAAAGTTCGAAATCTAATATAATTAATTTCAATTACCTTTATCACTTAAATGTGAAACTGATCTTAGCATGGACAATTCTATATATTGTTTTAAAAATAATTTATTATCAAACATATACTCAATATAACAAACCTTTTGGAGTTAAATCCGTCGAATTTCGTTGTTTTCGAATTTTTCTGCTGTCCATTTATCCTGTTTGAAATATTTAGTAAAAAATATATTTGAATATCTAAAATCTAAAGTAATCATGTTTTGTTTCTATTATCAGTGACTAGAAGAGTTACACAGAATATTTTCTTAGTTTATAATAAATAGTCACATCAGTTAAAAAACAAAAAATAGTATACAATCTATATATACAGAAAATTTCGATAGAATCAAATCGAAAGAGAAAACTAAACTAACGACATGCTTCATTAATCGAATAAACATCGCAAGAGTAATAAACAACAAAGAAAAAACAAATATATATATATAATATAAAGATACAATTGTCCTTTTACGTCAACATAGTTACTACACAAAAAACACATATTATTTTCAGTATAGTTACGAATGACTAGATCATATTTTATCTTTATTTACGAAAATTTAAAGTAAACTATAGAAATAAAATATATTATTTAACTGTTACTAATATTATATTTGAATGTATTATTGAATAATTTCATTGATATTATTTTATGAAGATTATCTCATTGTTAAGCTTATTAAAAATCTCATCATCTATCCACTATGATTTGAACTCCTTGTTCAAATATCAAAATGGTATAACTATTTTATTTAGAAATATTCATCAATATTAATAAAGTATAATAAAAATCTCTGATAATATATATATATATATATATTGATAATAAATTGATTGTTTTCAAAAGATATATTTATATTAATAAACAAAGAATATTTTCATCTCAAACTTTTAAACATCTCAATTTTTCAAATAAGTACAACTCAACTATTATTATTTATAATAAATGATAAATCAATATTGAATGATTTTCTAAAATTCTTATATTTCAGAAAGTTTTGTTTTTTTTTCCAATGTTAATCTATGATTTTGTGTAACTATAGACAATATTAGATATTGAATTGCTACGGTGAGCGGACAACTGATCACAGGAAATTGATCATGGGACAACTGATCACGGACAATTGATCATGGATAATTGATCATGACAGACAACTGATCACGGCGGACGACTGATCATGAATAACTGATCATAAAGGAAAATTGATCATGAAGGTTCATGAAATTATTGTTATCGTTTAGGGTGGGTGTGTGGGTGTGGATGTGTGAGGTGTGGGTGGGTGTGGGTGTGGATGTGGGTGTGTGGGTGTGGGTGGATGTGGGTGTGGATGTGTGAGGTGTGGGTGGGTGTGGGTGTGGATGTGTGGGTGTGGGTGAGTGTGGGTGTGGGTGTGGGTGTGGGTGGATGTGGGTGTGGATGTGTGAGGTGTGGGTGGGTGTGGGTGTATGGATGTGGGTGTGGGTGGATGTGGGTGTGGATGTGTGAGGTGTGGGTGGGTGTGGGTGTGGGTGGTGTGGGTGGGTGTGGGTGTGGGTGGATGTGGGGGTGGGAGTAGGTGTAGGTGTAGATGTGGGTGTGGGTGGGTGTAGGTGTAGGTGTGGGTGTGGGTGTAGCTGTAGCTGTAGGTGTAGGTGTAGGTGTGGGTGGGGGTGGCTGTGGGTGTGGGTGTGAATTTATTTCTTATTTTTAAAACCCACACCCATACAACACACTCGCACCCACCACACACCCACACTCACATCTACCCACAACCTCTCTCTGTTCTTTTTTGTTTGGAAATAAATGACAATTATCAATTATCGAACGATTTTTTATGATCAACTGTTCAAGATCAGTTGTCCCTTATGATCAGTTGTCTATGATCAGTTGTCGTTATGATCAGTTTTTCCATGATCAGATGATCATGATCAGTTGTCCGTGATAAGTTATCCCATGATCAGTTGTCATAGACCCATCATCAAATGTCGATTATTTTTGAAATTCATGCAATATCAGTTTCATATACTTCGATTTTCAAGTTAGAACAATAATGATCGAATAAAGTTTCTTTAGTTGGTTGTTTTATTTATCTATTTATTTTTCAATAAAGCTTAGACAATTTTACGATATAAATGTGGCATTATAGATTTTAAAACATTCCTATTTGTATTATAAAAAATCTGAGAACACATTGTGTTTGTATCATTCGTTAGACATGCAAGTGAAGATGTTTTTTACTGTATCTATTTTTATAAAACAAAAAAAAACCTACATGAATTCTCTAATGAATACTAATTGATAAATGGTTTTTATATCCGATGGTTTTTGCTGCATTTAATGAGATGGAAAATATAAACCGTTGGCAACATGTGAACTATTATTTATTGAAAGTTTTTAAAAAAGAGAGATCAGAAATTACATGTTTTAATCGTATTATTTCATCATAAACATGGAAGAATATGTAGGGATTTATAATGGATAAAATCTTGAGCTTGAATATGAATTTTTGTTTAAAAAAAGTAGTCTTTTATAAAAAAAATTTATATATTTAACCGATAGATGGTGCCGATGAAACGTTGCCATCTGTATCATAGAACACACGTACACGATCACAGCGATAATCCATTATTCCTACTGAGTTTTTTTCAACTTTAATGACATCTAAATCTATTAAAACAGATCATATTTTAACTTTAAATTCTAATTAAAAGTCATCTTTCTCTTACTTGGATTTTCGTTTTGAATTGCTGCAACAGCGTCATCAACTGGCATACCAACAAGTTCAGGCCACGAAGTTTTACCTGCCATAGTTATGAAGAGCAATTATTAAGAGGTGAAAAATGTCGACTGCAATTGTTTTCAGTCATATTTATACGACGACCGATAATTGGCAAATATTTTTTTTTCTTTTCATGCATAATGTGAAATACTTAGGGGTATCCAAAAGTAGTGGCAACGACATTTTACTACCACTTAGTAAGCTTGATAAAAGTTTCTTTTTACACAGGATGATAGAGAAAAAAATGCTCTTTATTTCTATACTATTTGATCATACTTCACATAATATAATGGTAATAAATTTCCAGTAAGATTCGTTTCGTTATCATTCGTGATCGTTATACTGGTTTATAACGGGTAGGACAGGTTGATTTTCCGTCCCTTAATACATTGCATCAATGATCGAAACATACCGTAAGATGCAGCATGAAAAGCTCTACAATTTACATAAGAGCACTTATTCCATAATTGTACTTTTTGTTTTCAAAG